ACTAGGGGCTCCTGGCCGTACTACTAGGAGCATCCTTACTACTAGTATAACAAGAAGCTACTAGGAAAATAGATTGATTGTCAAGTCTGTCGGATATTGACCTGAAGCAGGAGGCCATGCTGGGCAATGAGCTGGTACTCCTCAGCAAGGGCATCTGCCAGTGCCATAACATACGCCTTGTGATCGTTGAAAACCAGGTCCCGGCAAAAGAGTGCCATTGTTCCGGGAGAGGGCACTGAGTGGAAGCAATCCTGAGACATCAGTCTACATATGCATGATGTAATGATATGGATGATATGGATGATATGGATGATATGGATATATATCTATATGTGTCAACATATATATATATATATGGATGATATCATGTGACTACTATGGTGTGGCAAAACTGATCAAAACTGGCTCTGTTGGATTCCAGCAAAGTGGTTGGCAAGTCGGAGACGTGCCAAGAATCCAAGACCGATTTGCCCGCTGCAGCCACTGCAGTCACGAAGGCCTTCAAGTTGGGGATTTCTGGAGCGATGTACTTGGGATGGGCCACACATGCCAAGCCACTGACAGCCTCTCGCTTGGGGTTCAAGGTGATCAACCCATTACCTCCTGAGAAGCGTTGAGCGTACAGCGGCACATCCAGCATATCAGCTGCAAGTGGCATGGCATGTTTGTTGCAGCAAGCTGCTGAAGCTGCTAAGGCTGCTGAAGCTGGCCCCATGTCACCACCATTCAGACCTGACACACGATTGATCACGTCAGAGATGTAGTTCTCCCGACCCCACTCGCCATCATTGATGACGTCCAGGTCGATTTCTGTTTGTTGAAGAATTACCTGAGTAAAACATCGGTAGTAGTTACTCAAACTACTAGCTACCTCTCTCTACTAGCTACTTCCTGCCTCTACTGGTCTGCTCCCCCCTTAGAAAAAGAAAAACTTGATTTCTATCCGTGGAACCAAATCAATCGGATTTCCAGACTTATCTGGCCGAGGAAGTGAGCCCACATGGGTCGTCCGAATCCACTGACCGTCGTCACCGTCGTCACCGTGGTCGTCACTGGACATCACGCGCTGCTCAATGCCGGTCTTCTTCGCTTGCACCACAGGTACCACAGGTGCCACAGGTACCCTCACAGGTGCCACAGGTGGCACGACAGGCGGCACGGGCAGATCGGGCAAATGGACAGTTTCAAGCTGAACAGAGTCCAACTTGCTGGCGATGGCGCGACATGTCGGTTGATCCATGATTTTCTCCACTCCAATGCAGCCAGGACCAAATTTGTCCTGCGCCGATAGTGTCAGTGGGTCACCTGCGGTCACCTGCGGTCACCTGGTGCAAAAGGGAGGGGGGTAGGGGGGTAGACCGATAAGTAGCTAGGTAGGTAGCTAGTAGTTTGAGTAACTACTACAGACTGGACGCAGGATAGCTCGCGCTTCTTCAAGGAAGCTAGAAGCGCTCGCACTAATGATTTGGTTCCTAGATTGTTAGGGACACTTAACTAATAGCGATGACCTGTCTTCCTTTTCCTTTTCCTTTGTTTCTAAGAGCGATGGCCTCCAACCTACCATGACATGATGGATCTGGAACGAGCAGGTCTCACATGGTTCATCGCACGTTGTCAAACAACAAAACTCTTGTGACTTTGCGATCAACATGTCGCAAAAACGCTGCAAGGACCCGATCGCCAAGTCCTCCAACAAGCCAAGCAATTCAGCCAAACCCAAGGAATCCAGTCCCAACTCATGTAAATCTGCATCTACATCCACAGATCCATCGCCTCCCACGATGGACAGGACAGCGCTGCTGACGAACCTTAAGCGGTTTATCATCGCCACATCCTCAAGCGTCCAAAACCGAACATGCTTGCAATTGTTTGTACGTGTGCTGAAGATGATGAACCAAACATTTGGGTAATTCTGGTCTCGTGGTCTTTTCAGAAACGTTGACGTTGACAAACATCCTGTCCTCCACATGCTCATCGTGCATGTCGCCTTGGTTCTTAGTCGTAGTTTCCGATGATCCAGCGTTGGGCAAAGGTCTGGTGAAATCTTCAGCTGGAACACCACTCGGTGCTGAGAAATCCTCACAACCTGCTTCATGTGAAATCACAACCTGCTTCGGTACCGCTTCGCTGCCGCTACCGCTCTGACGCTCCTCTGTGCGTGCCTCGTACGGTGGGCGGTTCGCACCTTCTCTCGGAGCTGTGATGACCACGTGTGCATTGCTGCCAGCAAAGCCGAAACTGGAAATACCCACCTTGGCATCCTCCATGAGAACACCTGTCAGATTGGATATGAGTGATATAAATTGCAACGCTAAGAACATACAAACATTCATATAAATTACATAGGTCTTCTATCTTTTTCTTCGTCTTTCGCGCAGCAAACCTTCCTCTCCCAGCTTGAGACAGGAGCCCTCCATGGCAGCCATCACCTGCGGGTTCAGCCTGCCGATCTTAAAGGCCGGTACCCTGCGACAGGCGAGATGCGAAGAAATGAAGGCACCGGCAAAGGTCTTTCGCTAGTAGAAACAATAAGCTACTAGGAACAAGTGCATCGCTACTAGGAGCAAGGGCCTTACTAGTAGTAACAAGAAGCTATTCGAAACAAGAATTAAACTAAATTCAATTAGCAATTCTGTTTTACCCTTCGACAGGCAAGAGAAGCTAGTAGATACAATAAATAGAATTTAGTTAGAATTACTGTAAGGGTAATTTAAAGTCGTTCAAGATGAAAAAAAACTGCGGCTTCTTTGGGTCAAGACTCCAGTGTTTTCTACTTTCGCGATGTTCCCTTCGGACTCGGTGTCACGTTGGTAACTTGGTACATCCTGGTACTGGTTTTGTACTTTCGCATCCGGGACTGTCATGGCTCGCATTCCCCGTTCATGCAATGGCCTTACCGCTTGCGTTCTCAGCTTCACAGGTGAACAAAGTCCGTGAAGCAGAAAAGCGACCGTTTAGATCTTTAGCGAGGATGGCTGTTCCCAGGACGGTGCTTCCCAAGCCGACGCGAGACCGAATTCGTGGGGCCGAGGCCGAAGTGCTTCGCTCTTAAGCTCTACTTAGGGGCCTTTGTGTTCTTTAAAGCTCTGCCTTTGCAACTCTTAGATCTAAATTTGGTCCCCACTCTCGTCGAAGCGATGGAAAAACCATGTTCAAAGCGTTGGACATCTGTGACCTGTTGGTCGACAGTGGAATACTGCGGAAGGTGAGTGGGTGTGAAATCACATACGCCTCTTTGAGATGTGTACAAAGCATATGGCCTCCACCCAGGAACAAGGGCATGACTACTAGGAACAAGAAGCTACTAGGAGCAAAGGGCATGACTACTAGGAGCAAGAAGCTACGAACAGGGCTCCTGGCATCGCTATTAGCATTCTTGCTACTAGGAACAGAGTTTGGACCTGGACCTGGGGGCGCGCACTGCTCACGCGTCCCGGCCGGGCCATCGCCCTGTTTTTCCTGCACCTGCCTGCGATGTTGGCACATCAGCATTGCTTTCAGCAAGCCAACAGCACCGGCAGCAGACTCCAAGTGTCCCACGTGCATCTTGGCTGCGGTCATCCAACACGTGGAGTCTCCAAGTGTCCTGGATCGCTGCGTACGGCATTGCTAAGAAGCTACGTCTTGGAACACCTCACTTAAGTTTCGATCGAATCAAATGAAAAAGCGTGATCTCTGCCAACTCCGTTAGCTACCTATAGCTACCTACCTACCTACCATCTACTACCTACCTACCTACCTACCTTCCGTCCTGGCCAAGGCCGAGACTTCGACGGGGTCGCCCAAGGGCGTTCCGGTGCCGTGCAGCTCCACGGCGGAGAGCTCCGAGGGACTGAGCCGGGCGTCGGCGCAGGCCAAGCGAATGGCATGCTCTTGGGCGAAAGGATCCACGGACGACAAAGGCCGACGCCTCACAGGTGAGAAGCCAATCATCATATATCATCATATATCATATATCTAGGTGTCTTCCTTTTCCAGAAATACATCATTTACATCTTCTCAACGGAATGTGTCACCTGGAGTTCTGGGTCACTGCCGAGCCCAAAATGCGTCCACAAGAAGGAAGGCGCAAGTCCTCTCGAGCCAAAAGGAAGAGCACTCCACCTTCTCCACGCACATAGCCATCGGCCTCGGCCGAGAAGGTGTGGCATCTGCCGGAAGGACTTAACATCATCGCTCGGCGCAGCTGGTGGAAAAGCTGTAGATCTTCACCGAACAAGTTGACTCCACCAACAATCGCAAAGTCAATCCGTCCAATCTTGGCATCTTTCAATGCTTCATGCACTGCGACCAATGCAGAGGAACATGCCGTGTTGATCGTCATGGCTGGGCCCTGCAAGTCATAAGCATTGGCCACCCGTGCGGCCAAAGCACTCAAGGAAGTACCAATCGTCTGATAGGCCGAGGTCCCACCCGTCGATGGTGCCACCTCTTGCCAGGCACCGATGTAGACGCCGACCCGCTCCCGAGCTTCTCGTAAAAGCTTCAAGATCTCCGGCCCTGCGGGGGTCGCTTCGACGTCTTGGAACATCTCAGCTGCCAATTGGAGGGCAAAGGCGTGCTGGGGATCCATGGCAGCTGCCTGGAGCCGTCATGACGCTACGAACGGAGCAAAGGGCATAGGGCATCGTTAGGAGCAAGGACACTACTAGGGGCTCTTGGCCATACCACAAGCAGCAAATAACTACTAGGAGCTCTTTCGCTGCGCGGGCGGGGGTAGAAGATGCTTCTCTCCAGGCCAACGCTCTCAGGTTGGAGGCCAACGCTACGAGCTTGGAGGCCAGTGCTATCAGGTTGGGATCGAGATGGAACGAGCCACAAACAACTGAGGCGACCACCTCATCGAACACATCGATGAACATCACTCAACGATGATCAGCGCCATTTGTACCAGTCTTTGAGTATCGCTTTTGGTCAAACTGTATTCTAACGGCATTGTGCAATTGAACAGGAGGCCATTCCATTCTACATGGCGTTCTCTTGCTCTCCCGGGTGTCACCCGTTCTCTCCCCAGGTGAAACGCATGGCACTTGACGCAGCTCCGGAGTCGACTTGTTGACACAGGTCGATTCCGCTAGCTACTAGCTTGTAGCGACGGTCGATTCTACGGGCGTTTCGGAAAGAAAAGGATTCATAGGGAGTACAACGATCGACACTCGACTCGTGTCGACGTAGACTGACCTCGGCTCTGCTTGAGCTATGCACAATCCGTCGATATTTCTGGCCTGACTAGGAGCGATCGGACGCCGCTAGTAACAAAGGGCATCGCTACTAGGAACAAGGACGCTACGATTGGGGCTCCTGGCCTTAAGCAAACGTCGAACTCCCATCGAGAAAGTGTGGCCAGCTCGCTCACAGCTCACATCACACATCAGCACCATTTGCAAACAAATCGCTGTTTCAAGCCCATCTTGCAGGTCTACATCATCGGCGCGACGACCCCACCGCTTGTTGCTTGGCCGCGTAGCTCTCGAACGATTGTGGGCCGTGATTGGCATAGATTGACAGGACATGTTGGAAAAATGCAGCAAAAATAAGGTAAAGGGCCTTATTAAAGAGGCCCAGAGGCCCATCCTTTCACCACATTTTTGTGTGGGGTTCTGACCTTACTCATTTGCCTTCTCACACTATCTCTGCTGACACCAACTCAAAACACGCCAACTCAACCACTCACCACTCAACTCAACTCAACTAAACTCACTCACTGCCCTTCTTTGCGTTGGGTTTTGCGTCTCTTAAATTAAAGGGATGTGAGGTTTTGGGATGAGACTCGCTCTTATTGAACAGGGCTGTTGAGGCTGTAAAATGTACAGAAATGGTTGGGAAGAATATTGTGCCATTTGTCCCTGGCAACACCGCAACACCGTCGCCACACATGCCGGCTTGAGACAAAGGAGAACTGCTAGAATCGTGGAGCTAGGAGGGAATTGGACTTTCTTCGTGTTTCTTTTGCGGAGGGAATTGCTAGGATAAAGAACTGGACAGCTAGGAGATCAATGAAGATGTTTTGTGTTTTCTTGGAGATTGTCACGGTGCTAAAGAACCTAAGGTTGGACAAGAAGTTCAATGAGTGGCTGCACCACAAAGAATCGTGGGAAGGCGACAGCGGCGACAGCACAGTTTGAGAACCAACTTGTTCTTTGAATCGCTTCAACCGTTAGAAGACGAAAGAATCAAAGAAGCACCGTGTTGCGTGTGTGTCGTCCGGAAATGGTGCCTCTGCACCTTCTACACCATCCACAGCAGCCGCCACTTGATCGAAGTGCAGAAAGGCAGCAGTGATCCCTGGCAGCTTGGATCTGAAAGCACTGCTCTGGTCATCTTTTTCCAGCAAGGACCAAAAGGCACCTGACAGTTTGTCAGAGGGGTGAATCCCGTAGTGAAACAAATGATTTGTCAACCACCTCCAAAGTTACTGAAACATTGTCGAACACTTGAGGAACATCCTGAAAATGCTGGTGAGTTCACTGCGATTCTGGTCCTTCACTAGGATAAAACTCTTATTCCACCTCCAAAGTCACTTCTGTCTAAATAAGCATCTGAGGTCGGTTGAACAAGTTAGCCCTGGATGTGTAGCTAAGCTGCGGCTGATGAGAGTGCCATTTGTCGGAGGAACGGCCATTCCCCCCAAGGTGTGTGCGTGTGTACCCCCCGTCTTACCCTCTGAAGAATTGGACGCCACACAAAAAACAGCTCTTGGCTTTTCTTCCAAAGAAGTCCCCCCTTTTTGCACATGAAACATTACAGCTCAGGACTGGCTCAACTACCACACCTGGAGAAGCCACTCCTGCAGGCAAGCGCAGCCCACAACCCAAAATGTCCAGCGCTGTAGCTGTGTGAGACCATCCGATGTGACCATCGGTGTCAACCGTGTCCCAATGTTGGATGAGTTTCTCCAAGGAGTTGAAACGGTAGAAATCGTAAGCTGCCAACATGGGGAAGAACTTCTCCAGTTGCTGAGCCAATGAGACCAAATGTTGTGACCCGATGCCTTGATCTTCAAAGCTGATCCTCAAGTCGAGCTTTCAACTGAAGTTTCCCTAAGCATCTAGGAACCAAATGAATAGTGCAAACCCGAACTATCCTGCGTCCATACCAGTAGTAGCTAACACTACTAGCGATTCCGTTTGCTTCTACTAGCTACCTAGCCACTTCCTACCTATCTCCACTCGCGGCCTATCCCCTCTAAAAAAATAAGATAAACAAATATATATATATATATAATATGAAGAGAAAAAAAACACGATATGATTTTCAAGGTTCCTTTTGATTTAAACAAAACACTACCTCGTTTCGACGTTCACATCGGCGGGCCACGGCGGCCACGCAGTGAAACAAATGAAGCACAGAATATGAAACGGATCAAAAAGTATTGTCATACATATTCATAAATATCTAATACACACATAGATAGATAAATATATATATATAATAGCCATGCTATGGGGTCTTGCAAAACTAATAGGCGGACGGGCGCCGTCGGGTCACCGTCAGAACTGGTGGGCCGATGGTGTCCCGGTCATGTTGTGACGGTGTCCCGGTTGTGTGATGATGGTGTCTAAGGAAGAGATGGTCGATGTGTTGAAAACAGCAGCTGTTTCCAGATTTTGGTATTTGTCCCGGTTTGTATCGCGCTATTGAGGTCTCCAGCTGGGCTAGTTTATTAATATCAATATGTATTAACATGTAATATTTTGTGATTACGTGAATACATGTTGATACCGTCATCGACCAAAGATGTTTGACAACTTTTTTCTCTGCATACTCCAAACGTCTCAAAGTCGGCATGTAGCTGAAGCTGCTGCTGACTCACCATCTCCTGCAGCTGGGAGCGCAACGTCTCGTTGGAGCGCAGCATGGCCCGGGAGCGGCGCAACACGTGGCCCGTTTTCTCGCCACGACGCATGGAACACGCGTAGGTCCACGCCAGGTCCTCGAAGCTCGCCTGCAAGGTGAGGGCGTGGAAGTAGACTAGGAGCAAGAAGCTACTAGGGGCTCCTGGCATCGCTACTAGGAGCAAGAAGCTACTACAGGCTCCTGGCATCGCTGCTAGGGGCAAGAAGCTACTAGGGGCTCCTGGCATCTCTACTAGGAGCAAGAAGCTACTAGGGGCTCCTGGCATCGCTGCTAGGGGCAAGAAGCTACTAGGGGCTCCGGGCATCTCTACTAGGAGCAAGAAGCTACTAGGGGCTCCTGGCATCGCTGCTAGGAGCAAGAAGCTACTAGGGGCTCCAGGCATCGCTACTAGGAGCAAGAAGCTACTAGGGGTTCCTGGCATCGCTACTAATGGCAAGAAGCTACTAGGAGCTCCTCCCATTACTACTACTACAACCAAGAAGCTATTAGGGGCTCCTGGCATCGCTACTAGGAGGAAGCTACTAGGGGCTCCTGGCATCGCTACTAGGGCTTCTGGCATCGCTGCTGGGAGCAAGAAGCTACTAGGCTCTCCTGGCTTCGCTACTAGAAGCAAGAAGCTATTAGGAGCAAGAAGCTATTAGGGGCTCCTGACATCGCTACTAGTAGCAAGAAGCTACTAGGGGCTCCTGGCATCGCTACTAGTAGCAAGAAGCTACTAGGGGCTCCTGGCATCGCTACTAGGAGCAAGAA